CTCCATTACTCCATAGTCAGGCAGATTTACAAATTCAGCAGCGTTGCCCTTCTCCCTAGGAGCGCTCCTCTTACATGATCAGACTCCTCAAACCGTTTGCTATAAATGTCATGCTAATCCGTTTATATAGATCAAACGTAAAAGTTCTTCAGGGTTTCTTTGCAGCATAATAGGTCTTTTTTTTGTAGTTTGTTGAATTTGGATGTTTTATTACACTGTATGTTCTTCAGATCAGTGTAATGATCATATGGGTTCTTTAAGATCTGTATAAATACTTATTTTTAATAGTGATATTGGTAGTTTACTATGTGGACATACATTTTTGTTTTAGTGATTTTAGATTAAAAATGATATTTGTTAAAGGACAAGTATGTTTGAAGTATTTGGTCATTATAATGGGCTTGGTCACCATTTCATTAATTATATTATTATTATCATTATTATTAATATTGTTTAAAAAAAACTTTTCAATCACATTTTCTTGACTTGTTCTTTTAAATATTATATTTAATTTAGTATAGACAAGGTTGCACTTACTATAGACATTTTAAGGTAATATTTGATTTCATAACCAGTCTTTTTTTATTAAATAGACCAAAATTAGATCATGCATACAAACTTAAATTGTATTCACATCACATTTCCTTTTTCATGCATTGACTTTAAAAAATTAATATTCTTTTTTTAATAATTATTTTTGAGGAAGACAATATTCCTCATCATTAAAATAATATAAACAATATTATTATTTTAATTATGTATTATATATTATATTATGAAATTATTGAATATTGTTATAAAATTTTCATATTAAAGTATTGAAATATAAATTTTATATTATTAAATCACCTATATTTTAACCATAAAATGATGGATGATGCAGCTCTACTTACAGTACTTCCACTTGCCCCGAAATTAACAGCATAATCCCTCAGATTACATCAATTATACATTTAGAGTCTGTTGACGTATAGAAAACACTGCAATATGCATTTGAGCTCTTTTTTGCTTATATATGCTGTAGAGGCTAAATGGATGTTTGTTTATAATTTATAAAAATCCCCATTTCTCCCTCAGAAGGATCTATAACTAACTATAATAACCCTTGTGAGTAACTGCTGCAAACGTTTCAGTGTGAGTGAACTGTCCAAATGAATCACAAACAATTTCAGACCTTTGTGCAAATCCGCTTGACTGATTAGAGTGATTCGTTCACAAATTTGGCATCTGATTCGAAACAGCTGATAGAAAACATACAGCTTTTGCTGAAATGTTATCAGACAAAAAAAACTCTCAGGTTGTTATACATCAATCCCATTGACACATAAGGATTTATCAGTAATATTTTACTGAGCCACTGCGCTGTTTTACTGCAATAAGGGTCTAGTGATGCCCCTGTTGTTTGATTCTTCATTTTCAGACAAAAAAAGAATAAATAAACAGTCTGATTTCATGTGCATATCTTCTGTGCACAAAAATACTTGTATCTGAATATGACGTCACACGTGGCCCTCAAATGCAAATGCCGGTACACTGTATCTCTGCACACAATCAGTTCAAGGACTTGACGAGTTTGTTGTGTTGTGCATGAAGTCAAGTCATATTTACAGTTAAAGAATATGTTATCTTCTCTTTAGTTGAGATTTCACAAATATAACGGTTGCCCTGCGTCAAAGAAACCCATTGAGTTTCCTGTGATGCAAGAATTAAACTCTGAGTCCGTACAATTAGCACATTATTCATATTCTCCGTTGTAATTATTATTCTAACATCATAGATTATACTGTGCTTGTTTTGTCATGTTACTGTAAACGGGCTAACCCAGTTATAAAGCACCATGCCAAGAATATGGAGTTGAAGTAGCCGTTTGTTCGGCAGGCCACTGCAACTGCCGAGAATGGATTAGTGAAATCCTATTAGAAATACCAGGCCAAGAATTCTGCCGTACTCTCGAAAACCGTCTGAAAGTACCATAAACCACAAACAGATTACTACCGCCCAAAATCAGTCAAAGCTAAGCGGCAAAAAACTGTGAAGAGAATCCTGAATCGGGTGCTGATGTGGATTTGTCTTATTTTAGCTGAGTTATACCCCTGAAAACTATATTAAACAGCACAGATATCAGTTACACAGCATGAGTCATTCACTGAAATTACTGAAGGAGAAATCAAAAACCAGATCGGAGTGCTTGATCGGTTCTGTCTAGTGCAGATGGAGAAAATGAGAGCTCTATAATGTCTGTCTATGGATAAGTAACTATTGTTTGACTTCCCAGCATAAAATTCTTTCCATTTATTGTAAATATGTAAAGAAGGGGAAAGTCTACAAGTTTATATAATCACATAAAAAAATGCATTATTTTAATTAAATAATTGTATTTTATACACACTGGAAAAAAAGTCATGGATTTGAACTTGATTTTTACTTAGAAGTTCAATAGTAAATTTCACAAACAATTACAAATAAATGTGAAATTCGAAGAAGAAAGACTGAAATAGTGTTGCTATTTGCTTGTAAAACATAATCCAATAATCTTAGTTTTTCTTGCAACTTTGAAAAATATAATTTATTTTACTGTGTAATCACCTGAATTACTGCGCAAGTTATTTTATTTTATATTTTATACCTAAATGACTGCTGTGTAGAAATCCTTTTTATTTCACTATCAAATGTATTAAATAGGTGTTCAGTCAAGTGAAGCATTATGCTACTACTTTATATTAATAACGTATTTTCATATATTCATAATTCATATAATTTTCATGCTGTAAATAAAAAATGAAAATGCATTGCATATTCAAACTTTTCAAAATAGAACTTTACAAAATGCTAGGGTTTTTATATTTTTTTATATGCATTATTATTTTATTTATTATTTTTAAGTATAAAATATTTGTATATACAATATAATTTATATTATTAATTATATATTGCATTATATATTATATAATTTGTGTTATTAATGATATATTGTATTATTAAATATTATAATATTTATTTTATTAAATAATATTTTTGCCTATATTTGAACAGCATAATCACACAGATTAGACTGCATATACATACATTGTATAGAAAACTCTGCCGGGTTTTTTTCTTATTGAGGCTTTATGCATTTTTGTTTATACAGGTAATGTATAAAAATCCCCATTTCTTGACAATTTAAATATGCAATGTATTTTCATTTTCTATTTACAACTGTTATCATTATGAACATGAAGTAGGCGGGCAGTGCATTTAATACCATAATCATCTTGTATTTTACATCAGGAATGCAGACATTCGGTCCATTAATGGCTTTATCCTTTGGGTGCTTTTGAGTCTACATGGACAAGTCATGTATCAGCAAGAGTAGGATGTGTGTAATCCACAGTCAGAAGGTTATTACAACTGTCATATTGTGGCTTGGTCATCTCCATGGAAACAAGGCAATGTGCATTGTCTCTCCTCTATCCACCCCTTCCTGAAAACATGTTATATGAGGACTCCATATTGGCTGAATAAATAACATGCTATTAAAAATGACTGTTTTTCTAAACATATAAGAAGTATGGCTGGAACAAAATCATCTGGCTGTGGATAAATTTGATCTGTACGAGTACACACATGTTTGGCCATCCGTTCCTTTCAGAAATATTTATCTTTGGACATCCAGGCTTGGTATAATTGATGGGGGATGGATAAATGCAGGTTGAACGAACTTAAGGAACGACTGACTTTGCACCCGTAGTTTGACATTTTGTTTTGGCATTGAATGAGTCAGTCTGTCTCTCACATTGACGTCACTTTTGATTCACAGGCATGGTTTTCCTGAAAAGCACTTGGAAACTCAAGCCACGTAAGTTATCTCTGTAAAAACAAACAACTGATTATGATCATTTCAATTCACGTTATTCAAATTGTTGCAACCCATTGGAATTAGTGTTAACATTTTGCATTGGCACACAGATTAGGTTTTAATGTATGATTGCACATCAGTCATGTTATATTAAAATAGACTCTATGTTCAGGATCTCAGAGGTCTTGTGATAAAATAATCATTGAAAAATGAATTTAATATGTGAATATATTTTTAATAATTGCATCAATAATACTTTATTCATAATTTAATATGTTAACAAATTTATTAACTAATTATAAATATAAATAAAATGAATCATAAAAATTGCTTATTTAAATGTTTTCCTGTTTTTAATGTTCCTCTGACATAATGAAAACCCATTTTACAAATATTATTAAAGATCAGTCATGGTGTATTAAAATGTACTTTAGGATCAGGGTCTCAGAGACCTTGAGATAAAATAATAAAAAATGAATACGTTAATATATTAATAATAATAATGAATCAAGTTAATCAATTTAATCATTATAAAAATAAATATTAAAATGGCATGTTCCATTGACATAATGAAAACCCATTTTACGCATATTAAACATGAGTCATGTTCTGTTAAAACTGACATTCTGTATGTGCAGCACAGAGACCCCAAAAATTTGGGATAAAATAATTTAAAAATTAATAGGTTACTAATTATAATAATGCGTAATAAATAAAATAATAATTTTTAAAAATCGCTTATTTAATTTTTCTTTTCCTCTGACGTAATGAAAACCCATTATTAAAGACTAGACACGCAATAGAACAGAAAACATAAAATAATTATGCGAATCTTTAATGATCAACCCTATATTAATGGTAATATGTTTTGGGGCTTGTTCTCTCAGACCGCAAACAAAAGATTAATTATACAGTTGACTTTAATGTAAATCATTTGTCACAGTGTTTTCTTATATAGCCTACCTTTCATTCACAAACATTATTAAATTAAATAAGGATAAACATAGCCTATTAGTGGCAGAGCATGTATTTTATGAATTCGCACTGATCTAATGGTCTGTAAAGAATCATATAGTGTTTGTCAGACATATATTAATTTCAGTTATGATAAAGTGTCACCGTTTTACTAAACCAGTGATGAAACGCTCAGCGCGCACTTCACGCGTATGATGTGATCATCCAGAGTCCCTCTGCGCGCTCATCACGTGCTTCAGCTCGATCCATCCAGCCGCTTCAAGCAGAACTAACTAGCTCACCTCTCAGGAAAGGCTCGTGAAAACCCTAAGAAAAAGATTGACGTCAAAAAGATTAAACGATTCGGACACATCGAGCTGAGCGCGAAGGAATCGGATGTGAGTGGAAGTGACCTCCAGGACCAAGTGCCTTTCCTCGTCTCCGGCAGCCCGTGGGAAGTTTCTTTCCATGTGAAAACCATCTGACACACATGATCTGCTCCATACACACTCATTCTGGACCAGCGGGGACACTTACATATCCATAGATTGAATAAGAACCAAGAGAAGACGAGTATATATGAACTGTGAGATCTGGTGAGTAGATCGCAGCTGTTCTTCTGTATACCAAGACAGACACAAGACATTTGACCTAATTCATCTCTTGCTTACAAATTATGGATATGCATTGCGCACTAGACATGGCATGGTTTAAAATGGGTCTGGCGGTGCGCAAAGCTGCGTGCGTTTGTGTTAGAAGAGGAGAAAGCCAACATCTGCTCGTTAAAAGTAGGTCTGCATGTGGACTGCCGTGTGTTTGTGCCGTTTACTAGATTACTTTGAATGATTGAGAGTTATTGCGCATCATAATTATTGCGCCATTGACTTGTTACTTATATTAACAATCATTTTATAGCGTGTTTTAATTATGCATGCTCATCTGGGTTCCGGAGACTAAGGCGTTTTTTATTCCTAACATTCAGTCTGTGCATTGGATTTTATACATTCAACAGTTTTATAATTTTTTCCCCTCTGGTCACTCGTGGGTTCGGCGTGGATTCATATCAGCTGCTGGTTAATTAGACTCACTTGCGCACTGGTTGTCATGACCACTCATCCACATCAATTCACCAGACTACTGACTGTTTACCTTCATGCGTCTGATGTATATGTGAGCTCCTAGTTTCGAGATAAATGCAATGCATTCATTGTAGAAAGTTGCGCAATGTGGTGCAGTGGTTAAAGATCTGTCTGGTACACTATTAAAAATATGGTTTTGAAACTATTTGCACTCAGAAATTGCTATTAAACTTTATAAATAATTACCAAAAAAGGGTTAACACATTGAATTAAGTGTGACATTTTGAAGTAGAAAGACTGAAATACACTGCAAAAATTACTTTTTAAAGATTATTGGAGTATGTTTTACAAGAAAATACTATTTTAGTTGTTCTGCTTCAAAATGTAATGTTTGATTCAGTGTTACTTGCTGTCTCTTTGTGATTGTTTGTAAAATGTAGCAAATTCTGAGTGAAAATGGTTTCTTTACCAGTTTTGTGTGTGTGTGTGTGTGTGTGTGTGTGTGGTAATTTCTTGTAAAATGTACTCTAGTGACCTTAAATTGTATTTCAGCTTCAAAGAATCATTTTTACAGTGTAACTGAAAGGTTTTAAGTTCAAAGCCAATTTGCTTACTGATTATTTGTATGATTAAATGTTTTAGTTTTGCGTTTTGACATAATAATAACAAAATAATCATAATACAATCATTAATATAAAATTCTGTATGAATGTTATGATTTCTGCAGTTTTGTGATCTAAATGGTCACATATTGGACTGTGTAAAAGCTACGTGCTTCTCACTTCTGAATATGAATTAACTGTGGCGTAGTGGTGTTGTTGAGTGCGGTTCTTTAGAAACACACTAAACAGTGTCATTTAGACATGATAATACAGACCTAATTAAGTAGAAAAGAGCAAATATTGTTTAAAATCAGTCAAACCGATTATCTGTCCGTTTCTACAAAGAGCTGGTTCATGAACCTTTGTGTCCTTGTGAAAGACACATAACCTCAGGTTACTCTACAGGGACTGTCCCTGTCATAATAAGTGTAGTGACTCAGAAAAGTAGAAAAAGCATCAGCTAAATGACTAATGTAAACATCTCGGCTTGTGAAGAAGGCTGCAATATTTTTAAGTTGCATGAAAACTTGTCCAATTATTCATAAATTCAAAGCAGCCTCTGAAATGTATAGTTCAGTTGATGTTTCATTTACTGCACTGACTGCGCTCAAGGACTCATAAAGTTCAATCCGAATATACAATCAGAGCTTGAATAGCTAAATTACCAGACCATAAGGTTCAGGAGACCTTGGAGACTCTTATAGAAGTTTCTTATATGAGGTTCTTGTGTATGTGAGTTATCAAGGACCTGAAGTTGTGATTTATATTCAGAAAAATGTGGTTGGATAAGCTTTTTCCTACCAAGAAACAATAACGCAACTTGCAACTTTAGTTAGGGCTGTAGTTGATAGTTTGGTCATAACTTTGTCAAAAGAACCTGAATGTTTTATTCAACTTTTGTTATTCCACCACACATTCACACCCATGCTTTGTAACCAATAAATCTTTCATATTTTGTGTCAGCAGGCTTATTATAGTTAAGTAAAACTAAAACCATAAAAAAAATAGAAATAAACTTGAAATACTTAAAATAATTTTCTCAATTTCTCATTTTCATTTACTTGATACTAAAATGGTACTAAAATAGCTAAAAATGTATAAACATTTATATAGATATATTTAATAAAAACCTCCAAAATTACTAAAACGTAACTAAAATTAAAATTGAAAATCATTTAAAAAAATAAATAAATGTAATTATAAAAGCATCTCAATAACGCTGCATGGCAGTTATGAGTGATATATAAATCTCCCCAACAGTATTTAAGAGTTAGTGTTGTTAGGGAAAAAGTTTGATTCATTTTTAATTCTACACCTATTAAAATAAGAAGGACTAACGAAGTACTGGCAGAAACTAACCCTGAGCTTAAATCCTACAGAAACTACAGCACATGTTGCACAAGTTCATTGGTTTCGTTTGCAAATCTCAAAGTGTTTGTTGAGATTAAAATTCCCGAAGCGACGTATAAAGTACATAAGTACAGAGTGAATGCATGTGGTATTAGATTAGATGAGCATATATAGAGCATGTCTTTGTTTACATGCTTGCAAAGAAAAGTTTGCACAGTACTTCACGAGATTTCATCATATCAATTATTCTAAATGCAACAACATTGTAATATTTTCCCAAGATTTCCTTAATTCAAACATGCATTTTGCTTTGAAACTCCTATGTTATAGGAGAAAATGCTCTCCGCAGAAAGTTGCAAGTTTCTCCTGGGAGCTGATCTTTCTGCTGCTATTCTTAGAGTTGTCACTTCAATCAGTCTATAAGAACGAGAATTGCATTGCACGAACACAATGCAGAATTTTTGTTTCACACCGTGTGCCAAATTTGAACGGATTCCTCAAATTCTATTTAAACCTGTAACAAGAGCAACGCATTCTTGCTAAAAGCAGTTTTATGGCAGGAAAAATGGATCACACACACATATGCGATTGTCTCTCTTTCAGGGGTGCATGCATAAATGCCAAGAAACTGCATTAGAGAGACCTCACCCAAAGAAAACAAGATCATTGTGTGGAAAATGGACCTGCCAAATAAGGAGAGACGGTCACCGGAGAATGGCCCCAGCTCGGCTAGGCCCTGTTGCTCAAGCCTCAAGGTAAGTCTTCTGACTTGAACACCTATAGGAGCTTTATTCTCAATTGTCACATTGTGTTGATGCCTGAAGGAGAAGCGCTGGTATGTCTGCGAGCTCGCAGGTCCATTGCTTTCCTCGTAACAGGCTTTGAAGGCCTCTGGCGCTGTGACGTCATTGGGTCCAAACAAGATTTAGCTTCAGTTTGTGGTGGAATCTTCTTCTGAAGAGCTGAGCACTGAGAACAGAGGGGGTTTTGAGCCAGCGCTCCTGATGAGATGATTATGGCTAACGATGTAAATAATGAGAGAGTCATGCTCCACAGTTGCTTTGTCATAAACACATGAGCACGGCCACAGAAGATGCATTCAGCTCTCTCTATAAGACACGCAGTCATGTTAAGGTATAATGTAAAGGTTTACTTAAAGGGTTAGTTCACCCAAAAATGTCATTAATTACTCACCCTCATGTCGTTTCAAACCCGTAAGACCTTCGTTCATCTTTGGAACACAAATTAAGATATTTTTGATGGAATCTGAGAGCTGTCTGACCCTGCATAGACAGCAACGCAACTGAAATGTTCCCAAGTCCAGAGATGTAGTGAACCACTGATGTCACATGGATTATTTTACAGATCTCCTTGCTATGTTTCTGGATATGGGAACGTTTCAGTTGCGTTGCTGTCTATGCAGGGTCAGACAGCTCTCAGATTCCATCAAAAATATCTTAATTTGTGTTCCAAAGATGAACGAAGGTCTTACGGGTTTGAAATGAAATGAGGGTGAGTAATTAATGACAGAATTTTCATTTTTGGGTGAACTAACCCTTTAAGATCAACTTTAAACCGTGAAACCGTGGTCCTTGTTGATTCATACATTGCAAGTAAATGGCTACTGTCACTTTGAGACTCAAAAAAGCACATACAGACAACACAAAATGAATACCCGTGGCTCCTGATGCTATATTGAGGTCTAATGAAGCTAAAGAAAGTTAACATTATTTACGACGTTATCACCTGTAATCCAGAGTCTCAGACAAACAGTCTGGAGTGATGCCCGGTTCATGAACGAATCATTCTTTTGAACCAGTTCACCAAATTAGACTGAAGCGTCTGAAACCGTTTACGTCTCGAGCAGCACAGATCTACAAGTTACTCAATCAAAACATACTTTTAGACGCCTTGCAGTCACTCTGACTCTAAATAAGCCAATATTTGAATCAGTTCATTGAAATCAACTGTTCTAAACAACCAGTTTGCAGAAAAGAATCAGACTTCCCCGTTTGACTGAGGCTATGGATTACAAGTAATATTGTTGTAAATAAGAAAATGCTTTTAATGTAAGGTAATAATGTTGTGAATAACTTCAATAATGTCCTACATGGCAGAAATCCAAAAGTGCATTCTGACTGTTGCTCTCTAGGCCATTGAGGGGTTAAATGCCTTTTTAAAGATCATAAGAGCAATCGCAGAAGACCTTATCAGCTGATATGTTTCGGGTATCAAGCCTCTGACCCTCTTGATTTTAACGGGTGAATGACTAGCGAGTGTTTCTGTATCCAGAAAGACAAGCCATATGACAGACTAAGAAACATTCAGCACAAAATTAGTGACATAAAATGTGTTTTTTTAACACAATGAGATCAGGCACATGCAGATGAGATCTGGATTTAGGGCTTGTTTTTGCTTGGGATTATATTTGTGTGAGACAACAGTGTAAAAGCTGCTTAGAATCAGATTATTTTGCGCAGCTGACGAAAGACGCGAGCACAATGAAAAGGCCGTTTCTAAGAAAAGAGACCACGCAGAGGTGCGGTAAATTACACCTAAGATGTGTCGTGATCATAATCCTCAGATAAACCTTTACGGAGGCCTATTCTGATTTCCAAATTCTTGGCTTTAGCCTGAGGTCTGATCTTAGAAATGATCTGGATGCTTCAGGAGCACAGGCTAATCTGATGAATGAAGGTATTGTAACTGCACTCATAGAGACTCTTATGGTAAAGCCGATTAACGTTTCCAGTAGTGTTCTAGCTCTACAAGTTTTTCTCCCAATAACACAAAAATAAGAAATTGTCACATCCAGTAAAAAAAAATTAAGAACAACTTGGACCACATTCAAAGGTTCGAGGATCAGTTCATTTAGTTGTGGTTTATTTATCATCCTTACCAACACCAAATACTTGTGAATTATGGTATTGCTTGGACTAAAGAGATTTATCTGGATCTGAAAGTCATCACAGCCATGAAAAAAAGGAAATATCAAGATATCCAGACAAGAAAAAGTCATGCAAATGAGTTTAAACTATTAAAAATATACATTTAATTGCCTTTTTTGCATATAAAATATTTCAATGGCTCTAAATTGCTGTTCATAAAATTTAGTGCCATTGATCTACTATTATTTTTTTCTCATTATTTTGAATTAGATTTTATGTTTTCATTTTCATTTTCGTTAAAGTTTTAGTAGTTTTCTTGTGTTTTGGTCATTTTTATTATTATTATTTTATATGTCTATGTAGTTTTTATTAAGTTTTGTTTTTTAGTTTTAGTTATTGTAGTAAATTTAAACTAAATGAAAATGAGATAATGTAATGTAATTTTTATTTCATTTTATTTTTTATTTATTTTAGTAGGTGTTTTTAAATTTTATTTGTATTTTAATTTATTTATTTTAATTTATTTATTGTCTATAAGTTCTGGTTTTTAGTTTTAGTTTATTTAGTTTGAGTTATTTTATAATTATTTAAACTTTATTTAAATGAAAATAAGAAATGTTGCCTTGGCAAAAAGTTTAAAGGGATCATATGATGCTTTTTTAAAGATCATTATTTTGTGTATTTGGTGTAACAGAATATGTTGACATGCTTTAATGTTGAAAAACACAATATTTTTCAAGTACTGTACATTATTGTAGGTCCTCTATGTCCCGCCTCTCTCAAACGCTTCGTTTTCTACAAAGTTCCTCCTTCCGACAAGCGCAGTCTGCTCTGATTGGCCAGCTGGTCCAGTGCATTGTGATTGGCCGAACACCGCAAGCACTCGGCGGAAATGTAACGCCCCTTACCATAATCACGAGCTTCATCTTTCAAAATAAATGTAAAGACAGAGCCCGAAAGGAGAACAGAGTCGCGTGACAGACACAGTGATGAAGCTGGTATGTGTGTGCAGTACACAAGCCACGGTTAAGACAGCTGACTCCACTGTGATCTCTCTCTCACTCTCTGTCACACACGCACACACTCACGCACACACACACACAAACGCACACACACACACAAACGATGCGCAAAACTCCGCATTTGAAGAGTCAATAGCAAATACTTAAACTAATAACAAAACAGTAGCTGATTCAGAAGCGGCAGATTGTCATAGCAAAGTCAGAATTACCTGCTCTCCTAGGTTCACGAAACGGTCGTCCATAAAATGCATTGCTGTTCTGTTGTAAGTAATCTTAAAGATTTCTAAATGCATCTACTTTCGGAAGGCCAAATAAAGTGCTTCTGCTTTCGTCTAGAAACACACAGCGTCTCTCTGACATGGCTGCTTCAACACTAACTTTCTGTAAGGTCAAAAATTATCAAAGACTTCTGCTTTCCTGTCCCAAACCTATCTTCAGTAACAAAAGGGCCATTTGGAATTCCTGAAGGCACAGAGGTGCTGATAGTGATCAAGGCCTGTAGGCCAACATGTGTATACATCGGGGGTCTGCTAATTGTCACACCTTTTGCCCAGTGGGTGAAGTTATAATCTGCTGATTGGTCAGTTTGAATGTCTCACATTTGGTTTTTAGTCACATGGTCAAGGAAGGGATAAAAGAGGACTGTAACTGTTGCTCTGTCTCTTTCCTTGGCTGTCTTTTTCCTTGGCTGGCTCTTTGCTGCCTCTTTTCTTTGTTGGAGCTCTTCTTGGGTTTCTGCCCTCTCTCCCTCTTTTTCTTCCTCTCTCTATCTCTTTCTCTCAGGTAATATTTTACATGTTGGGTACAATTAACTATGCTTTACCATCCTTCATCTATTTTGTAACCAATTCAAGTGTAACCATAACAAAATATTGTTATTAAACCATTTCAATTATTAATTATGTGCTAACCAGTCTTGATTCAAGGTTCATCTTAAAGTTTTACCTATTGCAATACAATAGTCACACAATAGCAACGCTCTCCCACATATGTAGCTATTCTAACTGCGCTTATTTCCGTCGTTGGTATAAGTGGCAGTGGGTGGTAATAGACTAGAAATTTACAGTTTTATACCATCGTGCTGATAACGTTTCTTTAGTCATTCGGCAATCCTACAGCCTGAACCACCGTAGGAAAACCATCCTTACAACCCCTTTAAGGTTTTTATTATTATTATTTATTTTAATTTTTTTCAGTTAACAATAATATACCCTGATATGTATATACAAAATTTAAATGACAATCTGTTACATCATGTAAAGTGTCAATGGTCAAAAAGTGAGGAAATGCTAAAGTAGATTTTTTCTTCTATAATATGTTATCGTCAATGTTCAAAGGCATTCGGTTCTATGCTGTGCCAGAGCTATGGAGCATAAATTGCAGAAGTCAGTGCATGACATGCTTGGGAAATCCATAAGCGCTTGAAGGGACCTATGTGCTCTTGAGTGAGGAAATCTCTTGACTGTTGTAAAAGCTGAAAATTAGGCCACGGCGAGCACTTGCTGTTGGCTGCTGGTCAGATTTCTGCGCCTATGTGTAATGTGATCCAAGTTGTGATCCAAGAAGATGAGGGACGTGCCACTGCATTGACAGAAAATGTATGATGATTTGAAGTCAGTGACAGATGCTTGTGCAACATTTGGTTGAGGGGTCTGTTCTCGTATTACCCATCTACATACTTGTCAAAAGTTTGGAAACGTTATGATGCTCACCAAGACTGCATTTTGTAAATCAAAAATACAGTAAAAAATTTTGAAATATTATTACAATTTCAAATAACTATTTTCTATTTGAATAGATTTTAAAACATAATTTCTTCCTGTGATCAAAGCTGAATTTTCAGCATCATTCCTCCAGTCTTCAGTGTCACATGATCTTCAGAAATCATTCTAATATGCCGATTTGCTGCTTAAGAAACATTTCTTATTATTATCAATGTTGAAAACAGTTGTGCTGCTTCATATTTTTGTAGAAACCATGATACATTTATTTTGATGAACAGAAAGTTCAAAAGAACAGCATTTGTTTGAAATAGAATCTTTTGTAACATTATTAATGTTTTTACTGTCACTTTTGATCAATTTAATGCATATTTGCTGAATAAAAGCAATAATTTCTATTAACATGCAGACATCCCAAACATTTGAATGGAAGTATATCGTGGTTTCTGAAGCATGAAGTTGCACAACTGTTTTCAACATTGATGATAATATAATATAATATAATGTTCCTTGAGCAGCAAATCAGCATATTAGAATGATTTCTGAAGATCATGTGACACTGAAGACTGGAGCAATGATGCTGAAAATTCAGCTTTGATCACAGCAATAAATTACATTTTACAATACATTCACTTAGAAAACACTTATTTTAAATTGTAATAATATTTCAGGCAATATTTGCAGTTTTTTACTGTATTTTTGAGCTCACAAATGAAGCCTTGGTGAGCAGAAGAGATTAAAAACATTTAAAAACTGTAATGTTTCCAAACTTTTGACAAGTACTGTACATTCTTTGCTGCTTGTTTTCAGTTCGTCAGCGGACAGGTGATTGTCACCGTTCACCTTTCAGTTGTTTCTATTGTGAGCGTCCCGTCGTGGGAGAACATGTCTGACACGTCCAGTGTGCTTTACAAACTCTTTCTCACACTTTTGTTGTGTTTTATCCTTCTTTAAGATACTAGTTCTTTAGATACGGCTTTCTTCACTCAGCGTTAGAAACCTCTCAAATCCCAGCATGCTCTGCGCTATCCCCTGTAGCCCAAAGTAAGCATAAATCTTTCAGAAATATTAGTGCTCAAGTCCCAGTCGAAGAGCACAATCCATAATGACACAGAGCTGCATGACCCAGAACAAAGTTGCGATAACTCAGTTAAGTGAAGGACGCAGACTGTAAACACTGCCGTGTTTGTGAGAAGAACAGCCTCGGCTGATTGATTGATCGATCTGGTTAAGTTATGGCAATGAAATGAATCAGACATGTCAGTTCACTGAAGTTGTGAATGTCTGGGTTTATTTTTTTTATTTTTTTAGTATTTACAGGGGATGGAAAAAGTTTGGAAAGCTGCTCAGCAAGAATGCATTTATCTGAGTAAAAATACAGTAAAAATTGTGAAATATTTTTACAATTTAAAATGTGTTTCCTATGTGAATATATTTTAAAATTAATTAAAAAATGTATTCCTTTGATCAAAGCTGTATTTTCAGCATCATTACTCCAGTCTTCAGTGTCACATGATCCTTCAGAAATCATTCTAATATGCTGATTTGCTACATTTACATTATATTATATTATATTATATTAGTATCAATGTTGAAAACAGCTGTGTCGCCTCATGCTTCAGAAACCATGATATACTACCATTCAAATGTTTGGGAAGTTTGCGCATTTTAGTAGAACGTAATGCTTTTTTTCAACAAATATGTATTACATTTTTCAAAAGTGACCGTAAAAACATTAATAATGTTACAAAAGATTCTATTTCAAATAAATACTGTTCTTTTGAACTTTCTATACATCAAAGAATCCTGAAAAAACTGTTTCCGCAAATTAAGCAGCACAACTGTTTTCAACACTTATAATAATATATCACTATTTTATATAATTATCATTATAATATTAAATAAATAAAATTATCACTATACTATTAATAAATAATTTTTATAGTAGAAAAAAAATTATATATATATATATCTAAATATATATATATAAAATCTACTTTAAAAGGTATTTATTGATATTATAATGATAATTAAATTTAATTTTTAAAAAACTGTTTATAAAAGGACTTTTATGCAGTCATAAAAAGATTGTTTTAATCAAAAGTTTTATGCCGATGAGCTTCAAAAAGTGATTCAGCTCTTTTTTCCGTCTTTGTACATGGAAAATTCAAGTGTGTGTTGAAAGACGACTATAGCTGACGATTTGATCATCAAAGGCTTCTCGTCTCATCTCTTCTGGCCTCGTCTTTTTTCCCCTCTTCTCTCTTTGCTTCTTCACCCTTCTCTTCTCCACCTTTCCGTTGATTATTAATTTGGATGCAGGGAGTGTGCATATGTGCGGGAAACCCCACAAGAGTGAAGATGCACCACTGTGCCGAGGCGAAACCTCAGCGACTAATTTTTTGCCATTGTTTTGCTCATATGGAGGCTGTGTCACTGTGGTTGAGTGCAGTAGCATCGCTCAAGAGCGTGACATAAACTCCCCTAATCCGCTTTTTGTCCCCACTACCCATAATGCAATGCAGTTTGAGAAATGCATCCCCCCCTCCATCTCTCCCATCTCTACTCTGGTTCTCTTATCCCCTACAATTTTAAATGCATATTAATGAAGAGTTGCTTCCATGTCCAAAAATAGGTTAATGAGGGAGAGTGTGAGTTGCAGCATCTGACGAAGCGCGGGTGAATAAAACCTCTCTTTCTGTGTCTCATTACAGAAGTTCCTCGTGGCCTTGTCCTTTGCCTACTTCGCCAAGGCATTATCCGGGAGCTATATGAAAAGCACAATAACTCAGCTGGAAAGACGCTTCGACATCCCCAGTTACTTAATAGGTGTCATTGATGGAAGCTTTGAAATAGGTAAGAACCGGATCTTCATGCGTCAGCAGACCTTTCGCTATGTTTCGATCCCGTCACCTCCGCCAACCAGTTGCCAAGGCTCTTGTCTAGCCTTTCTCAGCATCTGCGGCGCTCCTTGCACCGGTGCAAAATAATACAGAGACACACCATGTGTGCTGCAATTTACACTCATCTGCAGTGCAATCGTCCAACAGATCGGACAGTTATGCAACTGCAGTGTGAAGAGCTCTCATCTTCACAAATGCAAATTGCATTTTTAAGTTTCCACGTGCATAAATCATTACATTGCAATAAAATGCTTTACTTTGCTAAATAGCAGTGTCCCAAAGAAAATTTTATTACCATGATAATTGTTTGCATCATTTGTTTGCATTCTTTGATGAATAGAAATTTCAAAAGAACAGCATTTATTTGAAATAGAAATCTTTATAAATTATAAATGTCTTTACTGTCACTTTGATCAATTTAATGCATCCTTGCTGAATAAAATTACAAATATTTCTATAATAAATAACAATATAATATTTACTAAATAAATATTAAATAAATAAAATATATGAATCTGTTTAATGCATTCTTGCGGAATAAACTTTCAAATATTAATATAATATTTACAAAAAATAAAATATAAATATTGATCTATTCAACTTGCTGAATAAAAGTACAAATATTTAGACAATAAATATAAAATTTTGAAAATAAATAAAATATAAATATGAATCTATTTAATGCATTCTTGCTGAATAAAAGTACAAATATTTAAATAAAAAAATATAATATTTACAAAATAAAACATTGATAATGTATTATTTAATCATATTACATAATTATAGTTGTATTACATATTATTATTAGCATATTATATATTTATTAATTTATAATGATTATCCCAAAATCTTAATCACTTAATATTTTGACCTTTGCAGGTGTGCAGGGATGCCAGTAGTAAAACAAAAAAGTATGCCACAGAACCACCATTAAAAGATTGTTGTAATCAAAGTTTTATTCCGATGAGCTTCAAAAGTGACTCAGCAGCTCTTTATTCTTCTTTGTGCATGTAAAATCATAATCTAGAGTAATGAAAGCAAGGCTAAACCCTGCTCACACTGCTGCAGCCGCCGCTCACGTGGCCCTAGCAACCAGTGTTTCCATAGGAGCGTTGCCATGGCAATGGGAAACGGCATGCAGCCTCGCAGAGATCGTGTGTCAGAGTTAGCATCACTGTCTCATTGTCTTACGTCCCCATTATCAACAAGTACCAGGAAAACCCGCCAAACAAAGACTGCTGTGTGTTATTGTGTGTTTTATAAATGTTTGGGTGAGTTGTTTCTTTTTGGTTAGGCTGACCTCCTTTCAAACTGAGCCGTGGTGTAAATGTCTGAGAATTCCTGTTCCCATTGAAGCCATGAAATGTCCTGAACACCACACTGGGTACAGAGCTGTGCTATAATCGTCCTCACAAAGACCTCCGTTCATGGAGCTGTGAAGCTCAGAAACCAAATAAATCAGCCAATAAATGTTCCTCGCAGATAAAGAGGTCAATCATGTAGAAATCAGCATCATGTTCTGAGAGTTTATGGAGAGGATACGTGCACTCATGGGTCATCATTATAGGGTTTTTATTGCTTGATGGACAGTAGCAAATAATATGTATTAAGAATTGCTCACGCAAAAATTTTAATTTGCTAAGAATACACTTCTAGATGAGTTTGTCAGATTTGGAGAAATGTAGCTTTACATCTCTTGCTCAGCAAAGGATCCTCTGCAGTGAATGGGTGCCGTCAGAATGAGAGTCCAAACAGCTGATAAAAACCTCACAATAATCCACAAGTAATCCACACCTCTCCAGTCCATCAGTTAACGTCTTGAGAAGTGAAAAGCTGTGCAATTGTAAGAAACAAATCCATCAAGACATTTTTTAACATTTAACCGTCATAATCCACAATTATGTGGATTGGACTCAATCAGCTGTTTGGACTCTCATTCTGACGGCACCCATTCACTGCAGAGCATCCATTGGTGAGCAAGAGACGCAATGCTACATTTCTCCAAATCTGATGAAGAAACAAACTCATCTACATCTTTGATGGCCTGAGGGCGAGTACATTTTCAGCTGATTTAAATTTTTAGGTGAACTGTCATTTTAAGGTTACTTTAGTTCACACATTTATGTTTGGATTTAATTTTGGTTGGAAGTAATGAAGCCAGTTCAACTCAATCACAATTTCCACATCATAAAATGTTTGTCTGAACAGTTTCGTCCATTCTCTGCTTCTAGGTAACTTGTTAGTGATCGCCTTCGTGAGTTACTTTGGTGCCAAACTTCACCGTCCGAAGATCATCGCCATCGGCTGCCTGTTGATGTCACTTGGGACTTTTCTGATTGCCTTGCCCCATTTTATAATCGGACGGTAAGCCAAGTTTCATCCGTAAGTGAAAATGTGTGTGATGTCAGCAGGGTGAGCTGTTTTAAAGGGTCACATGTATCCAGTTTATTCCCCTGCCCACGAATGCCATCGAGTTGTATTTAGTATGTGTTTGTGTTCAGACGCTGTCTGCTGTTTCTTTATCAGATGTGTGTTTTACCATTGTAAAGCTGCTGTATCAAGGAAACATTTTTAGCTGATATACAGAACAAACAGAATTTTGCATGACCTCGCTCTGCTCATTCAAATTTGACTTCATCCTTGTACATCGACATGCAATCTCAACCTTGAAAGTGTGCCAGGTTTTCAGTTTTACATGCGGCTCTTCGAAGGCACCACAGCTTGGATGTATTTAAAGTGACTCGAGTGAAATTTCCGTGATGGATTAACATACTGCATTTTAATGTTAATGTTTCATATCTAGGCCATGTTTTTGAAGCACATTATTTATAGAAATTCTATATTGCATCCCGTTTTTACAGCAACAGCATGTTCAGACTAGAGTGTCATTGATTTGAGGTTCACCTGTGCATTTGCTTCACTGTCTGTGCAGATATAGGTTGTAATATACAGCTTATTCATCAGTGTTCAGCTTTGTCTCCTCGAGCAGGGTAATACCCAAAATACTATGACTGGATTCTTTTTTCTTGTCATATTTTTGTTAACGGTATTACTGTAATTATTATTATTTTAGATTTTGTATTTTTATTATAACTCTATTTTTATTATTTAATTATCAATATGATGCATCTTTTCTATCTTAATTATTGTTGACAAAATAAAAAAAAATTAACTCTTTTTATTATTTAATTATCATTATCATATATCTTTTTCATCTTTATTATTGACAAAATAAAAATATATATATTAACTCTTTTTTTATTATAATTATCATTTTGATTAATATATATATATATATATATATATATATATATATATATATATATATATATATATATATATATA